GTCCTGCTCTGCTTTCACTCCCACACCTCCTTGGGCTTTCCAAAGGCATGGAAGTTATATCCCCCACCCCTGCAGGTGGAGAAATTAAGACAGAAGAGAAGCAATTTCCCCAAGGCTGAGCTGGGAGTGGGACAACAGGAGTCTTGGCTCCCAAGCCAACAGTTGAGACACTTGTCCAGTCAGCCAGTTGTCTGTAGGAGGAGGATGCTATACCAAGTCATGCTCTCCTTGTCCCCCTTACCAGGGCTGCAGACCTGGACACAGGCATGGGCGAACCGGGCAGCTGCCTGGGTGCCCGAAAGTGGTAATTTTTTCCCCCATCGTCTGATTATTATGATCATTATCTCTGGCAAAGGTGGGCCCGATACTGAAAGTTTGCCTAGGGCCGCCAGCATGGAGACACCCCCTGGGTGCAGGGGAGACCCCAGTCCATGCCCTGCCTTTGCGCGGGTCCCACCAGCCCCATGCAGTGTTATGGGGGCCCCAAACAGGCTGATTTGCCCTGGGCCCTGTACCCCCCTAGGTTGGCCCTGCCCTTTACTGCCATCTGGGCCCTCAGGTCCAGGCATGGACTGCATACCAGCCATGGGCAATGGTCCAGAGCTACTTTAAACTTGGAATTTTTCTTCCCTGGGAAATCCAGTCTGTTAAAAAAGCCATTTTCAATCCAGCTTGGGACAGGAGCCAGAAAAGCTGGTGGTTCTTGTAGGGAGGAATGCCAAGTCCTTCCTCTCCACCAGTGCCCATTTTTCCAGAATAAAATGGAGCCACCAGCTGCCCATCTCCTGAGAGTCTTGGCCCCAGAGCAGGGAGCCCAGGATCCCCAGAGGTCTGGCTCCACCTGGGTGTTCAGAGCCTCCAGGGTCCCCATGACTGAGTTAGAGAGCCTGGAAAAGGAGGTTCCTGGGTCTGTGACACAAAGCCTGGGAGACCAGCTCTGGAGCTGTCTGCGTGGCAGGACTCATCAGCAGCCTACTGCTCAGGCAGGAAAGCAGGTGGCTTCCCAGGGCTCCCAGCACCAAGTCTCCCCAGTTTCTCTCCCTTTGCAATGCAGAAAATGGAGGCACAAGCCTGCTTTCCTGGCCAGGATCCTACTAAGAAGAGTCAGACTGAGGCCTCCTAGTAAACCAGTGCTGCAGCTAGGAACACACCTTGGTCTCCGTGTAACAGGGTCCTGGAGGGGTCCCAGTATGTGGGTTAACTTCACTAGGGACCTGTGACTGCCTAGGCATGTGCCTTGACTATCTGGGCCCTACTTATACCATATCTGGGTCCCAAGCCTGATATGGTATAAGTAGCTGTAACTCCATCACCTTTAGGGACAAGGTTCACACTTACAGTGCATGAGGGGAGAGAAGGAAAAAGCCACGACAGACATCCCATGCCCAGGAGCAGCCATGACAAGCACCTTCTGTTCACAGGCAGTCTGGGAGCCTTCTGGATAGGGCCAGGTAAAACACCCACTTGTGCTTCTTAGCACAAGTCCCCAGAGATGGTCACCCAGGGCACTGACCTGCTCACTGAGCCCCTGCTAAAAAACCTGCAGCTGGTGCGGCCAGTGATGGAGGTTCCCTGGATGCATTGGAGGATGGTCCTGGCCAGCACCTCTCATATCGGGACCTCCTGGACTATGCCAGGCAGGGGTGGGTGGATCCGTCTGTACTGCCCCAGTGCATGGAGCTGCCCATGCTGTGTAATCCCTGCCACTTACTCCAGGAGGTAAAGGCTTCCCTGCCGCTCACTGCCCTCACCTATATCAACCAGGTCCTGCATGAGAACTGTCCCCACCTACTGGTATCCCCCAGCCCTCCAGAGCTAGTTGTGGGGCCTCTGCCTCAGCAGGCCCCATAGTGCTCCTTACCCCACCATCTCAGCAGGCTGGGGGATACCAACCCGGTCTGCCTCCGAACAGCCCACCGCCACCAACTCTACATGCTCATGCTCTGCACAATCCCTTATCCCACCCTTGTGCCACACTAACAAATTGAAGGACAACCTAAGCAAGAGTGAGGGTGTGGGTCCCCACTGGATAAGTCTGTATTCCACCTTGATCCCATAAGTCACTGGGGACCAAAGCTGGTAGCTCCTCCATGGAGCCATCACCATGCATGTGTATCTGGTGTGCTTTATGGACACCACTGACATCTCTTTTTTTTTTGGTAAAATGTACATGTCTATATATATATATATAAGGTGTTATATATATCTATGCTTTGAGTATCGCTCCACAAAGAAAACCTTAACCGGCTACAAAAAACACACCCACATGCCTATATAAAGGCCCGCTGGCCACCCGAACCTGTTACAATATCCACATTGTGCGCTACACACAAAAGCAACTTCTGGTCTCTCAGATGAAGCAGCCCTTTCCTTTCATCCCCAGCCTGCTTGTGGGGTCACAAACTCAGCTCACCTGCTGTCCGTGTCACTGTTGCTCCAGCTCCTGCTGGAGGACCCGCTGCTGCTGCTGCTGTTGCTGTCGCTGGCCTCAGTTCCACTTGTCTCTTCCTTTTCCTCACTGTCACTGCCCCCTTCTCCACTCAGGGGAAGTTGGAAGGTGCACATGCCTGTGCCACATGCCTCTGTGCCAGGTGGCTTTGGCTGCATCCTCTCCATCCTCCAATACCAATTTCTAGTAGTAGGTCTGGAGTTTGCTCAGAGCCATTTTCACACAGCCTACCACCTCTACGTCCATGTGCCTGTACAACAGGAAGTTCCTGGTCTTCCACAGGGCACTCCTGATGCAGAACGCAAACTGGTCAAAACAGGGCGACAGGTTCCCCTGGTGTTTGGTGAGGTGCCCATACAGTGCCACTTCTCTGGTTAGCCGGTTGATGCCAGACACCACTGACAACTGCTCTTTTTGCCAACAGAGGGAGACCCTGGTGCATGTCTACCTTGAGTGTGGCAGGTTGCAGCCCCTCTTCTAACTCCTCCAGCACCTCCTGGTGAGGTTCTGGCTGCACTTCTCCCTGCACCTTTTTTGTTATGCACTCCCTGTCTGTGACCCCACAGAGCCCCAAGACCTCCTAGTCTACCTATTTCTGGCTGGGACAAGTTGGCTATATACAAGACCAGGAAGGAGGCTCTGGCCAGGGGGAACCCAGGCGAGTGTGTGGCTCTTTTCCTGTCACTGCTTTTGTCTCCAGGTGGAGTTTCACTGGTCAGCGTCCACAGGCTCCCTCGACTCACTTGAGGGGCAGTGGGCACCTCTCTGTGTTCCTTTCTGCATCCCTTGTTAGTAATCTATGACCTCACTCCCCTTCCTGTTTTCTCTTTATTTGTCCACTGGAATTAGTTGATGTGTCCCCAGTGGCCTCCCTTATTAAGGGAGGCTTATAGTACTTTGTGATGGGCCAAAGCCCATGATCTTTCGGCCCAATAAACAGCCCTGCAGTGCTTCTTTGCATCCTTGCTAAGCTCTGGTACTCCACACCTCCATACTGCAGAGCATTTTGGGTGGTCCAGCTTCCATGCACCTGCTGAGCATGCTGGGTAAGTCAGGTAGTGCACATTTGCTGAACTGTTGAGCATTCTGGTCACGACCAGGTGACACACATCTGCTGTCTTAATGAGCGCTTGGGCAGACCCAGGCAGCACACACCTGCTGTGCTGCTGAGCAGCCTGCCTGCTTTCCAACACAATGCACCTGCCATTCAGAATTCTCTAAGGCTCTTTGCAGCAAGAGGGACCTACAGTCTGTGGTGCGGGACCCTGACTCTGCAAGTTGGAAGATCAGCTGCATGGGCTTTTGCTGAACTGAATATGCAAATAAACTTTGCAATCAGCAGTACATCCCTTGCCTTGTTTCCATTTGACATTCAGCGCACGTCGCTCTGCCCCTACATTTCAGTGTGCCACATATTTGGTAATGAAGCACATGTGACTGTCTGGTGGAATAGCTGGCAGCTTGGTCTATTGCACATCAGTTACTCACAGAATCTCACACTCACGTGGGCTGCAAAGAAAACATAGCCAGGAGACATGAGCGCTCAGATTCTGGACACATGGCTTCAGGGAGAAATGGGCAGTGGGCAGAGCCCAGGCTGCAGTGACATGTTGCAATAGAACCTGCCTGCCAGGAGGATGCACATCAAGCCTGGTCTACCTTGATGTGCCTAGAACTTGTGGTAGCATAGCAGGTTTGTCCAGGCCAGACACACCTACTTCTCATGCACCCAGCAGGTGGCACCTGGAACCTGATCTGCAGGCCAGCGAAGCCAATGGCAGTGTTGCCTTTTACTGTTGTTGGCTTTGGGTAAGGCTCAATCTGAACCCAATAGGTCCCAAGGATGAACACTTGTTTCTCACTGATTCCCAAGGGACAGATGGACAGATCTGTCTTGGAAACACAGACCTCCCTATAGTGAGATTCAGTGGGAACTTCCATCTTGCTCCAAAAGCCTTGTAGTTGTGTGACAAAGTAGAGTGCAGTTTTAGTAATAGGTTAGGCAAGGATTTGTATGGGATGGGTTGGATAGGAATGATCCTGCCTCAGGCAGGGGCTTGGGCTAGATGACTTCCAGGGGTCCCTTCCAGCCCTGCTGTTCTAGGATTCTGTGAAAAGCATTGCATGCCACCAACCAGAGGCAAACTCTTGTGAGAAGCACAGGCTTTTTTTTAAATGAACAAAATTCAGAGAGGGTTCCCAGCCCTCAGGGCTTTCCCCAGAGGGAATCCCCAGTGATTTATAAACAAGATGTCATAAGCTGGGACAGTCACTCTTGAGAGAAAAAAAAGGGGCATCAAGTCTAATTGGCAAAAACTGGTGAAGCAGCTGGCACAGGAACCTGCAGGAGCCAAGGGCAGAAGGTTAGGGAAGGTGCAAAGGAGAGACCATGGCAGGGAGGGAGAGCTTGCCTTCTGCAAGATGGTCTCCCCAGATATCCCTGTTTACTGGGCTTTGGCTGGGGTGAATCTAGATGGGGCAGGAGAGGAGCACAGAGCTGGTGGGGCAAGGAGATTAGGGAGGTGAGCGTGACTCAGGGCTTTGAAGCTGCCCTGAGTAGCTCCCAGGTCTGTCTACCCTCAGTGCAGCAGCAGGCCAGCACAGCTGAGCAGAGGCTCCAGGCAGGGTAGCCAGCCAGGAGGCCCCGAAGCCTTCTCAGAACCTCCCCTGGTACCAGGTCAGTCTGCTACTTTTGCCATCTGTCAGGGGCTGCTGTCTGGGGAAGGTGATTGAAAGGGGAGATGGGAGGGGGGCAAGAGGGGTGCATTCACTTGAGGGTTGGGGGAAGGAGGGACATGAACACATTATATCCATGTGTCCTGGAAGGCTGATGGGTTTGAGGCACAGTGGTACTATCTGGCATTGAGTGCCACTAAGGAGGTGCCCACCATACCAGGGATGAGGCAGCCCACCCTGACCCCAGCTGGCTTCCAACAGAGCTGGCATTCAGATGCACACAGGCTTCTCTTTTGCATCTTGTGCTCTCTTAGTGTGTCACTTGGGCACCAGCATTTGGGTGGACTGGCTCTCTACATCCCTGGAGATGTGGGAGCTATGCCTGGGTAACCAGAGCCAGCATCTGTTCTGTAGTATGTGCAGAGTATGGTAGACTGATCCCAGGAGCATGTGTGAATGGGGCTATTGAGAGCCCCATTGTTCTCATGGAAGAATAGAGATGTGAGCCAAAGGAGCAGACTAAGCTGTCCTGCTGGTAGGCTGGATGGACATATGCCAGGATCACTGCTGGTTGATGGGCATGCTGGTTTCTCTCTGGAGTGGCAGGGGCCCGGGGGGGGGCCGGGGGCCGGGAACCCAACACCTCTGTCTCCCTTTAAAGGTAGAAGCTAGGTAGCAGGCAAAGTGGCGAGCTCCTGACCTCCAGCCTTAGCTCCGAGATGAGTAGAGCTGGCTCACATGGGAGCATCAGCATATTGCTCTGGCTTTGATACTCAGATCTGGGGCAAGTGCTGAAATGCTCCTTGTACAAGGAATGGACATCTGGTTATATGGGAGCCTATTCAGCCCTGTGCAGGCCTGGGGAGGAGGGAAAGGATCAGTCTTGATGTATCTCATTTATTGTTCAACTACTATTGCTTGAGGGGTGCCAGAATGGCAGAGGCTGATAAACTGTATACTACAGCATGTCATGGCACCGAGGGGGCATAGACTCTGGTCTGGAGGACACTGTGTTATATATTATGGCAGAAAGGGGTATGGATTCTGTAATGTTGCTCGCATTGCTAAATACTGTGGCATAGGGGTGTATAGGTACTATAGTGTGGCTCACTGCTATATAAGGCAGCATAGGGGAGTATAGATGTTTTATAGTGGCTCACTGCTATAGTGTGGAATAGGGGAGTATAGACTACATGTTGTGGGTCACTGCTCTGTACTGTGACATGAGGTATGCAATTCTATACTGTGGGTCACTGCTCTATAGTGTGGCAGAAAGGGGCAGAGATCCTGTACACTGTCTCACTGCTCTATTGTGGCAGCAAGATATGGACTCTATATTGTCTGTCCACAGTGACATCTTGAGTTCCTTGAAGGAGCACAGTGAGGGGAGGGGGAGAGCAGGGATTTGGAGAGGAGATGATTGACAGCCACTTGTCACTCAATCCCAGAACCTCAATGTTCCTGAGGGACAGAGGTAGCCCCCACCCCAAACTCCCCTCTCCCTTGCTCTTCTCTGTCCTATTGCACCCTCTGCTCTTTCCTTGCAGAGCCCCTGGGTGTCTGTCTCTGCTCAGCTAGACCCAACTACGATCTCTTGCACTGCTTGTCTTTTGGGGTTCCCAAGCTGGGCCCCCACAGGGCTAACAGAGGCATATGCAGTGATCGAGGGTGCATGCTTTCCCCCAGCAGGGAGTTGCAAGTGGGGGTTGATAGCTCAGAGGGATCAGGCCCTGTATTATCAGCTGGGAGCAGAACACAGCTGATGCAATACCAGCCCCACCTCTCCCTGCTGAGCAGCTAACCCCAGGTAACTGTGCAGGAAGGACTGGATCTCAGCTGTGCATAATGGTTCCCTTCTATTGGATGCCTTCTACTTCACAGCACTTTGTGAATGGGGCTTGCTCTTCTCACCATGGAAATGCAGCTGGCTGTGGGATGGAGCATGACAGCTGTTCTACAAGGCATGGCCCTGCCACATAAAAGGGTGTGGGAAAGGAAAGAAGAATCTTGTACCCAGCAAAGGGGATATGGGGTGAGAGAGCCAGAAGCAGAGCAGTAATGACTCCTGAGTCCAGTGTCCATGTCTCTCCTCCCAGGACTCAGCACCCCCTTGCACCAAATAGGCTCAGGCTGGCATAACTGGCAAAGTGCCACCAACTGAGCATCACTCCTTGCAGCCCCCTGAAGTTCCCAGCCTGAATACTTGAGCCATATGACATTTGCTTTCTGGGCATGGTGCTCCTGCAGGGTCTGCCAAGGGCAGACTCCATACCACAGCATGAGCTCCTATGAGCTGGGCAGCTGCCAGGGAACACACTGTATCTCTCCTGGTGCAGCCAGTGTTATCAGGTCAAGACCCAGAAACCCCCTTTACCCCACTGCTCCCCTCCTACACTCCCACAGAATGGACAGGTCTACACTGCATTTCCACCAGTGTCTCTGCCCTGGATATTCCCCATCCCCTGTGAGACAGCAGTGAGTTTGCCAGTTGTCTGCATCACCCTGTGACAGGGACCTCCATCTCCTACACCCTTACCCCCACCCTAAACAATTCCTTCCTAGTGGCTGGTAGACAAAACCGGCACATGAAAGACCAAATGTGGACCCAGAGCCATCTTTTAACCTCACAGTCAGGGCTTCCAAGACCAGACACAGCTGTGCAGGGGCTCAAGGAGGCCCTGAGCTCTGTGGCAGGCTGCCTCACAGTGCCAGGAAGGCACTGAAAACTCAGGACTGGAAGCCAAGCAAGGCCTCAGGATAGGATCACCACCACATCATGCCCCCTATACTGCTTGGTGGCTTAGAGAGGTAGGAGCAAGCCAGGAGTCTCATAAGCTAGTAACACACAGCACCAATTCAACCTGACAGTCCAGTTCCTTAAGCCATTCCAGGTGCAAGGGCTCCAGGACCAAGCCCTGATAGCCTTGCAGATGGCCTGGACTCATCTCACAAGGAAGGCAGGAGTCTTGAGGATGGAGAGGGGATCCAGGACTCCTGAGATCTGTTCCTGTCCTAGACCCACTCTAGGGACTGTGGGCAAGTGGAGGGTAAGGGTTTGCATGTGGGTGTTGCCCTCTAGTGACCAACTTCAGTTACTATCACAGACTGCCCTCAGGCAGCTTTCCTTTTAGCTGTGGATATGAAGGGCTGTGGGTTTGGTGCTGAAGGTCTGAAGTGCAATCCCTGGTCACCAGCAGGGTGTTGCACAGTATGTGCAACCCTAATGCTTGTTCCTCAAGCCAGATGCAGCTGCCTTTAGACAGGAAACCTAGTACACTACCTTTAGCTTAGCTGTTATTTTGCAGGAAACCAACACTCAGCTCCAAAGTCATTTTGCTTTTTCAGGGTAACAGACACCCCAGACAATGCTTAGAAACAGGCCAGCACTGAATACTGCTGCCTGGGAACCCACCAGCTGGCTAAGACTGTAAACCACCTGAGCTGGAATCACTGTGTGCCCAGATGCAAAATCAGAGGTGGATTTGGGCTGTGAAGTCTTGTAGTTTGAGGGAGCTGTGCATACCCTGGATCTAGGGTTCCAGGCCAACCCACCAAAGAGACAAGTCTTAAGGCTTGCTACTAGTTTTGGGTTTGAATTGATGGGCCCCAGAACTTCAAGAGAAGTTTGGACCCCCTGCCCTGGCTTTTCTCTCCCTTATGTAAAGATCCGGGAGGGAATGAAGGGTCTGTATTTGAATACAAACACTATTCAAGGTACCCAGATTGCCTGTGCTGGCATGGGCTGGACCCTAACACCTCACCAACTCATCAATGTTGCCTCAGATTTAAGTAAATCACTTAAAAAAACTATTTAAATTAAGTAATTGTAGCAGGTTCAAGCCCCATTGGGACAACCATAACACCCCCTGGTGGCTATGTGGCTCCTGCTCTACTCAGAGTCCCTGGGCACCCTCCCTCTTCTCTTACCTGCCATACCTTGATGTACATAGTTGATTTGAAAAAAGGAAGGCTGCCCTAGGGTCCCAGAGTGAGCCCTCATCCATCCTCCAGCCATCAGCTCCCTCTCAGACCCCACTGGTCCCAGTCCTGCCCCTCAAGCATTAAGGGGGCTCCCCTGGCCCATCTGTGCTCCAGGGCACCCATTGCTTTAAGGACTATTTATGGGCTCCTTCTGCCCTTACAGACATGCCCATGCCTCACAGATAGGGTTGCCAACCCTCCAGGAATTAGATAAGTCTCCAGGAGACTGTAATGTGTATTTGCCTTCCTGATGTAAAGTCTATGCACTGTAATCTGTAACAGATATACACAGGTGTGAGGGCATGTTCGTGTTGTGTGTCACGGGCACATTGGCATTCTGGAAACTTCCCAGAATAAATTAAAAAAGAGCTGGAAACCCTACTCACAGATGTTATCAGTTACTGTCTCATGTCAGGCTTCCTTAGGCCCCTTCGCCCTTGTGGGGGTCTTGGCCCTCCTGGCCTCCTCCCCTCCCCACTGTGCTGGACCTGGCTTCTTGGCTCCAGCCCTGTGTCACCCTTTCATGGGCTTTGGACCCCTGGCCCTGGTTTCTCCCTTCTTGGGCTCTGGCCCTCAACCTCACAGCGTCAGACCACAGCTCTCACTTTTCCTGGCTCTCTCTCCAGCTTCCACCAGTCAGTGTCTTAAGCCCAGCTCCTTGGCAAGGCTCAAAACATGCTGTGTTGTTCAGGATCCCCTGTGGCTTTAAACCTTGATGCACCCCTCAGGTACCCCATTCTACCTCAGGTCTAGGTGCACCCCTCAGCACCCCTCTGTGGCCTCCTCATCTCCCCCTGTAGCCACACCCAGTTCACCAACCTGAAGTTTAAACAAAAATGTAAGCCCACTGTCTGTAACTAAATTGACCCCATACTGGGTCCTACTCCCTGCAAACTGTGAGTGTCTTACTTGCAGTCCCCAGGGCAGCTCAAATTCCAGGCAGTCCCTGTCTTGTGGCCATCCTGCTCAGGAGCTCTTCTCCCAGACTCCCTGCTCTGGCTCAGGCCCTGGGCTTATATTGCTCCCCAGCCACCCATAGGGGTTTCCAAATAGAGCCTGATGGCTAGCTTCTGGGCAGCTTACAACCAGGGCCAGATTAACCCTCTAGTGTGTGGTTCCTTGGCTGCCTAGTCCCTGCAGCCAGGCCCTAATGGGAATCTTACCCCCGACCTGGGGATCTCTGCTGCTGCTACTCCTGTAAAGTAATGGGAGTCTCTGGTTCCCTGTTACAGTTATGCAAACCCATTTTGGGGAGCAGAAGGCTTATTTTGACTTAGTTTAAGCCTGTCACTAATTGAGTTAGGCTAAACTAGAATAAGCCAGGTTTAAACTGACACCAGCACATCCACCAGCAGTTGGCCAGTAAGCTGGGCTCAGACTCCACCTCAAGTTGGAGGCTTGTCTGCTTGGGGCAGATATTCCCCAATCAGGGAAAGTGCAAACTTGAAGTAAACATCTCTCCTAGGTAACCCTCTCATGGAGGCACTCCTATTCCAGAATGAATGTGTCCGCTTGGGGAACTAATCCAGAATAGCTATGCTGCAGTGTCTCCTCTAGGGAATGTCCCACTGTAGACTACTCCTTTCATCAGTGCCTCTGTGCAGAGCCAGCCCCAGTCTGACTGTAAATATAGTGCATTTCAGAGACCAGTTTAAAACAGGCTCAACCTAGCTACCTCAGTGCCCTTTGGCCTGTCCCTAGCCCCAAGATGGGTTTCCCAAGCATGCTTAGGACCTACTGTGGGATCCCCAGTGAATCACTGAAGTGCCTCAGTATCTCTGTTAGTACCTGAGACATTGTTCTTTGCATAGGGAACTCTCCAGCACTGGTGAGAACATGGTGCCCTCCAGCTCCTACATGGAGCCTGTGTTCAGCAAGAATATCCAAGAGTGTGCACATGTGAGGAGGGGGAACTTGCGACACCCCCTGAAATGCATTCCTGGCTGCATTCAAAAGGCATCATTTCCAGTGGCCTAGGAAGCTTGGATGGAAATACCAGAAAACCCTCAAGTCTTCTCTCACAATCTGAAACACCATCTGCATGTGGGTGGGAGCTGGCAGCAAGGGACAGATGTCACCAGGGAGCTGGAGCAGTTCCTGAAGCACCCACTGCCAGCCCTGATGAATGAGGAGTGCTAGAATAGTGTGTAAGGCTTTGACTAAGATCCACTCACTATGGCAAGACCTGGACATACATGGGATGGGAGACTGTTCCCACTCCAGAGCTCCCAGCCCAACTCAACAAGGTAGAGAAAGAAGCAATGAAGTCCCCATGTCCCCAGTAGGCAGAGGCAGGCCCCTTGTCCCAAAGTGCTGGCTGTGAAGCATTGGGTAGTACCAGGTGATGGGAGCTTGCCCAAAGTCAACCAGGAGCTTGCCACTAGGCCAGGAGCTGAATGATGCAAGCACATGCCCTCTCCAAACCAGCCCTGAGCCTACAGGCAAGGCTTGGACTCCACTACCTTGCCCATACCTTGGGGTCCTATGCAGGGGCATGTAGATCCGGGGGCAGCTGTGTCTTGGGGTGAGGTCTGGGCACTGCTAGGTCTTAGGGTGGAAGCAGGGCTCTGCCGTATTTTGGCAATGGGAGGCAGGGTGCTGCTGTGTCTCAGGGTGGGGGCAGGTTTGCACCATGTCAGCACCCTGCTCTTGGATGGGCACAGGGATCCTGGTGTGGGCCAGGTCATTCCTAGCCTGCTCTTGGCTGCCTAACATGGTTCTCCTCTCTTTGCCTTTCCAGAGCTTTTGGCCGATTGGGTTATGTTGCCTGCGGGCTGACAGCTGGAGAGTGAGAGTCACAGAAAGAGTGACAAAGCGCCAACCAACCATGGACACTCCAGATAAGGTAGGGGCGACCAGCCCAGCCTGGTTCCTGCTCGATTCAGCCAGGATGTTACTGCCTGGCTCTCCTTCAAGGATCACTGTGCAGACACCATGCTTTACACTGTGACAATCACCTGTCACTGGGGAATACTGTACAGATTCCACTTCCATAGAGTGCTACTGTGGAGACAGGACACTTTCATAGAATTATAGAATCATAGAAGTCAGGTCGGAAGGGACCTTGTAGATCTTCAAGTCCGACCCCCTGCCTGGGCAGGAGGGAAACTGGTCTCGAGTGACCCCAGCCAGGTAGGCACTGAGCCGCTTCTTAAAGACCCCCAGGGTAGGAGCCAGCACCACGTCCCTTGGAAGTTGGTTCCAGATCCTAGCCGCCCTGACTGTGAAGTAGTTCTTACGGATGTCTAATCTAAACCTACTCTCCAACAATTTGTGGCCGTTATTCCTTGTTATCCCAGGGGGGCGCTAGGGGAAACAAGGTCTTCCCCAAACCCTTCTGGTCCCCCCTAGTGAGTTTATAGACGGTCACCAGGTCCCCCCTCAGTCTTCTCTTGTGAAGGCTGAACAGGTTCAGGTCCTGTAGCCTCTTGTTGTGGGGTCTGCCCTGCTGTCCCTGGATCATGTGGGTGGCCCTCCTCTGGACCCTCTCAATGTTGTCCACATCCCTCTTGAAGTGGGGTGCCCAGAACTGGACACAGTACTCCAGCTGTGGCCTGACCAGTGTCGCATAGAGGGGGAGGATCACCTCCTTGGCCCTACTTGAGATGCACCTGTGGATGCACGATATGGTCCGGTTAGCCCTGCCGACCGTGACCTCGCATTGTCGGCCCATGTTCATCTTGGAGTCATTGATGACTCCAAGATCCCTTTCTGCCTCCGTGCTCTCAAGAAGGGAGTTTCCCATCTTATAAGTGTGCTGCTGGTTACTACTGCCCAAGTGCAGCACCCTGCACTTGTCAGTATTGAAACGCATCCTGTTTTTGTTAGCCCACCTTTGCAACCTATCCAGGTCTTTCTGCAGTCTTTCCCCCCCTACTAGCATGCCCACCTCACCCAAAATTTTGGTATCATCAGCAAATTTGAACAGGTTGCTTTTCACCCCATCCTCCAAATTGCTGATAAAGAAATTGAACAGTGCGGGCCCAAGGACCGAGCCCTGGGGGACTCCGCTTCCCACTTCCCCCCAGGTCAAATATGACCCGTCCACCACCACCCTCTGAGTACAACCCTTCAGCCAATTAGCAATCCATCTGACTGTGTAGGCATCAATGCCACAGTTGCCTAGTTTTTTAATGAGGATGGAGTGGGCAACAGTGTCAAAGGCCTTGCTGAAGTCCAGAAAGACTACATCCACGGCGACACCTGCATCCAGTGCTTTTGTGACCTGATTGTAAAAGGCAATCAGGTTGGTCTGACATGACCTGCCCCTAATGAAACCGTGCTGGTTGCCCTTGAGCATCATCCCCGATGCCGGCCCATCACAGATGTGCTCCTTGATGATCTTCTCAAAGAGTTTCCCCAGGATTGAGGTAAGACTGACGGGCCTATAGTTGCCCAGGTCCTCCCTCCTCCCTTTCTTAAAGATGGGGACCACATTGGCTATCTTCCACTTTATAGGGTGCTACAGTCACACATCATTAGAGGAAACGCTGTACAGACATCCCACTTCATAGTGTGCTACAACTGCTCATAGTGACCTACCATAGGGGTGCCCCATTTCATAGTGTGCTACAGCCACCCATAGGAACTCACTCTGTAGACACCCTACTTCACAGTGTGCTGCAGTTGCCCACAGAGATTTAACCTGGTGGCTCAACTTACCCTCTGTAGTAGTCCCACCAGGGGAATCACTATACAGATACCTTCCCTACCCTATGCTGGTGTCCCTACCACAAGCAGCATTCAGAGCCTGCTGGCTCCCTCTCCATGGGCTGGCTCATGGGCACATCTGTATACCCAGAAGAGTTGGGAAGACCAGACTCCAAGCTCTGCTGTAGGGCTAGTGCACTGGGATGATCTGCCCAAGCCACACTGCACAGCAGGGAGGTGTAACTCTGAAAGATGCTCTCCTGTCTCTCCTTAGGAGGACTATGAAGCTGCTATGAGGGAGAATCTGGGCCTGGAGAACTATGAAGATCCTGAGCAGAAGCTATCAGATGTTGCACTGGGCGAGCAAGACAGTGAGTAGCCCTATGCATCAGGCTCATTAAGGGTTAACAGGGGGGTGTCTGGGCGTGGGGGGAGGCGGGGGGGAGGGGAGTAGGATAGGAGCTTCTAGGCTTGTAGTAGTGCTAGAAGTATTGAGTACTGAGGCTTGTAGTAGGGCATGGAGAGGGCAGGGCACGCTGTCTGGGTCCTCTATGTTCTACCATTCATCAGGCACATTAGGAAGGGTTATCATGACTTCCTGTCCACTGCTGGAGCCTGGATGCCAGGCTGGAGGGAGCTTCTAGGACAGGAAAACCCTGGGCTCCTGGGACTCCGCCCAGGTGCTATGGTAAACACTGGTATACCCATGTTCTGGATGTGCAACAAGGTGCCTCTGTGCACAGGATATCCAGACAGGATACATGCAAATAATGCAGAATAAAGGGCTACACCTACAGCAATAGTTTAGCTCTGCCTGTGCAAGGTTCTTCCAGATGAGCTGGAGATAATACCCCATGTATGCGTCTGCACAGGAAATGCGCGGCTGGATGTGATGGGATAGGGTGGCAGAAATAACCCACTGCAATGGGGGCATTCACAGAGGAGCAAGAAATGCAGTGATCAATGACGGATCATGCCAGAGGAATGTCATGGTAGATGAGGGTGGTGTGAGTGGGGGAGAGAGGGATGCCATGGGCTAGAGGACAGGGCACTGCACTGGGATTTAGGAGGCTGAGTTCAGTCACCAGACCAGCCATGAGTTTATTGGGTGACCTTGGACAAGTCAATCTATGAGGTAAAGTAGAAGTGGCACTCCACTGCTTCAGTGGCACACAAGGCAGTTGGCCCCTTAGGGATACTCATGTATAGGACTGGGGGAATGTGGATCTTGTATGTGCCTGGAATGATGAGCCTTCCTGGATTTCTGAGCAGCAGTGAGCTCTGTGCAGGGTCAGGCTGGGTGATGCTGTGGATGGAGCCTGCAGGAGGAGATGATTCTTCAGTAGATGGGGTCTGAATCACTTCTGAGAGAATAGTCCAGTAAGCTGCTAGGGCAGAGACTCCTGTCCCTTTGTGATCACGAATGCCCCCAGAATCCCAATTCGGCACCCTGTCCAGTAGCCCAAGGTGCTTTCTTCTCACATACAAACCATAAGCAGTAATGTGAAGAGCAGGAGGCTTGTAGCCCTGTGTTCATTGGGTGGTTACAATCCCTTGTCTACATTTCATATTGTTATTTCCGTTGAACTCAGGGGTTTTTGTCACTTCCTGTCCTAAACTGTTGTGCAGAATTAAGCAGCTGCTCAGTTCCCCACTCTCCCTCAAAGGTGGCTGCATTCCCTTGGCAAGGATAAAGATCCTTTGGAACCTCACATGATTTAATCCCTTAACACCTCTAAAACAAGTCGAGGTCCTAAGGTGAAGTAAGAAGGGCAGAGCATTTGAACGATTAAAACTCCACCACTAAGGCATAGGTGCTGTGACAAGCTAAAGAGAAAGAAGCCTGAGGCACATGGATTCCTTTTTAATGGATAATATTGTTTCAGCTGGTGCATCCAAGCCAGTTCCAAGGAATCAATGCCCTAGGCTTTGTTCAAATAACTTGACTCATCTCTCAACAGTTTCTTTGGCCTATAAATATCTGTGATGTTCCTTTGGCACAGGGGTGCAATTCATGCAGTCCTGTTTACTCATTTGAGCAGTGTTTATGTGCTTTTTAATGTGCTATAATCTCAGAAGCTAAATAACTCTGAAAGCAACAGTGATAAACGAGGTCTAATGCTTTGTGGCTTTAAACTCAGTGGTGCCCACCCAATGATAACTGGGCAGTCCCGAGCTTCCATTATCTCTTGCTCTCCAGCTACTTTCTTGGGATCATCCCTTGGGTGCCAGGCTGTGATGGGGGAGTGTCCCAGAAGCAGCCATGGTGCCAGGCAGCAGCAGTGCTCAGTGCCAGCTTCCCCACATTTACACATATAGCCAAAGCCAAGTATCAGCAAAAGGTCTGGGCACATGACATGTTTATTCTGGTGTAATCAGCCTTTACACCAGGATAACAAAGATGATATACAGCCCTGCACCAGTTTTACCTGCTCTGAGCTGATGTAGAATTATTCTGGTAAAACTACAAGTTGCACCAGTGTGCGCATCATTTGTTCACAGCTTATCCTGGGGCAGCTGTTTGCTCAAGGCAAGCAAGCTAATCCCTGCACCCTGCCATGTACTGGTGAGGCACATGCAGGAACCCTGGACAAGCTGAACAACTGTCTGCTCTGGAGCCCAATGGAATTTATGTCCATGCCATGCATGAAACCAATACAAATTATATTGGGGGGTGAGTGGTGGCAGGGTGAGCAGTGTGAAGGAGCTGCAGGGGCCAATGTAGCTGTTGCCTGCCCCCTGTTGCCTACCCACATCCCCAGCAGGGCTCTAGACCCTGCATTTTAGTGGGGATCCTCATGCCTCCTGACCCCACCCCCAAATTCCTAACTCCTCTAGGGGCATGGCTTTCTTTGCAGGCAGCATTGTTGACACCCCTGAGTCATAATGTTAAAGGTAGTGTATTTGTCTGGTTTCAACATTGCCATCTTCTGGTGGCTTATGCAGCACCCATTTTGAGCATCCTATACCGAGGGCCATATGTTCCATCTTCAAAGCCCTTCTCCATTGCTCTTTTCATTTCCATGCCAGTGGCATCAAAAGGCTTCATTCAGGGTATCCCTACACTAGGTGCTGTACATACAGTTAGGAAGTCTGAGCAAGCAACACAAAGAGAGGGAAGAGAAGGAGAAGCAAGGAGAAAAGATGTGACATTCCCAGCATCAAGCATGATCAACCCTCAGCACTCTCCTGAGAGAAGCAAGAAAGTAAAGTAGTTCTTTATGGACAGAGGGAGAACAGTGGAATGATGTGACCAAGTTTACCAAGCAAGCCATTGTCAGAGACCAATTTACAGCAGAGGCCTATTTTGGCAGCTAGTTTGGTGCTCTGACCCCTGGGCTACATTTTAAGGTGCATTCAGATGTCTGACACTGTAAAAAGCCTGCCATTCCGAAGATGTCAGGAAAGGGAGAAAGCAGGGACTAGGCACAGCAGTGCACAAGGGGGACAGTCTGGCCAATACAGTGGGGATTGGAACAAGGATCTGTACAGCTAAGAGCACAAGCAGCTAGAGCACTTTAGCAGCAGCTACAAAGCACAGACTCTCTGCAGCCTGGCCCTTTCCCAAGGAGAGAGCCAAGTCCTCCCCCTTCACCATTGTCCTGGATTCTGAACCCCAGAGGAAGCCCCTTGAATCTGGAAGCCCCAAAATCAGGACAAACCCTCCTGAAGTCAATCTCTGAGCTAAGGACGTGCCTAAATCATGCAGTGAGGAGCACCATCTTCACCCTGCCCCAGTCCTGATTCATGTGGCCCCACACCAGGGCTGTGGAAGTTCCCTTGAGTATGTATGTGTGCCAATGTGTTGCACAAATGGGTGTGGGCTGGTACCTATTTTTCTGGGTGTGTGAGACAGGCATATGTGGAGTACATGTATGTATGTGTCTGGGTATGTAGCAGCCTGGATATGGAGAAGGCTGTTTATGTGTATGTTTGGGCCTGAGGAGTGTGTGTGTGTGTGTGTGTGTGTGTGTGTGTCTAGTAGCAGTGTGGGGGTGGTAAAGGCACGGTATATGTGTCACCTCTGGGCCTGGGGAGAATGTGGGTGTGGGCAGGGCTTTGGGATTCAAAAAAGCAAACCCTGCAAGCCCCCGCCCCATCCCATTTCACCTGAACTCAGGTAGCAGATCCACCCTGGGCCTGCTCACTGGATGGCCGCTGTGCTATGCCCTATTCCACTAAGTGGGGCCCTGTGGGAGAAGACATATGAGTATGCATGCATTCATCTCCTGCTTTTTCCTGCACTAGCACCATTTGGAACCAGCCGAAATGCAAATAGTGGTTGAATTCCACAGCGGGCACCTGCTTGTCCACAAGGAAGTCAGCACCAGAACTTCTTGTTATTCACCAGCGCAGAGCAGTTTGGGTGGGGGTTGTGATGCCATGAGGTTGATTAGATGTGGGTGCAGCTCAGGGTGGGGGCAGGGTAGCAGTGCCAGCAGGGCCTGGGAGAGGGTCTGCCATCAGTCCAGAAACATGGACTTGACCTGCCTTAGAGTATGGGTAGGATCCTGTCTGGGGGCTGTGTTCACTGTGTGGGGTGGTCTCAGATTAATGCTGCAGCCTGTTTTATGTAGGAGACAGAGGCCAAGTGGGTTTGCAGGACAGCACCTCACGCCCTGGCAAGAGGAGGGTGTGGAATCCCTTCCGGTGAGTCCCAGTTGCCTGGGGAGAAACTGCTTCTCTTCACTTGCTATTAGCGGTCGGGGCAAGGGACCAAATTGTGAACCTAAGGATGCAAGTCCTGATCTGACCCCTGTCACTCAGGTCAGCAAGCCTTGTCACTCACACAGGCCTGGACTAAAGACCAGCTCCTCTGGGTAGCCTCTGGGCAGCACCACTGAGATGGCCCCCAGAGCTCAGTCTCTGCAGACCATTCAGCCCTTGGCCCCCTTGCTAAGCCTGGCAGCGGAGTGTTCTCTGTGGAAGAGCCAAAGCCAGGGAAGATGTCCCTCTACCTCACCAACCGTGCATCTGCAGAGTTGCCACCCTGGGCGTTCCCACCCTGGGCCTCGCTCTGGGAACAAGGAACAGGCATATTATGATTACATTGCCATTCCCCCCCTGACCAGAGCTCTCAGCCCCCACTGGCCTGACCCTGAGCTGCTTTACTGACATGATGGGTGCTAACTACATCTTCCCATGGTGTGTGTCTTTCAGCCAGTACTTGTCCGGTCGCAAAACAGCTTATGACCTGAATAAGAGGAGGAGAATGGAGTTGGGGCCCCTGGGCAAGGCAGGAGAATATCAGAGGCGTGATGGCAATGGGCAGAGTGAGTGACCCAACAGGGCAGGAGACGGGTGGGAGCTGTTCTGGAAAGGCCTGGTGGGGTGAGGGGTGAGATCAGTGTAGATCTAACTATGGGCCAGAGCCTGTCACAATGACCTGGGGTTTGACCTACTGTCCTTGCTGTGCAGAGAGGATGTGGGGGACATCGGGAAGTAGATCTAGATCCAGATCTGAACTTAGTTGCTGCCCCCTTTCCCCACAACTCTCCTCACACTGAGACAGGCCAGAGCATGAGCCCAGGTTAGAGTTTCCCACAAATGCTGGGAAAGTCCAGGCCTGATGCCAGGCTTTGTGCTATGGGTGCATCTCTCAGGACAAAGGCATCTTCAACCAGTTTCACCTGTGGACTCCCTAATCCTTCCCCTGTTTTTCCAAAGAAGTGAAGAGCTTGGAAGGGAAGAGAGGACTCAATGACCCAACATGCCATTGACAATCAGCAGGCATTTTGGTCTTGGAAGGGGCACATGTGGTACCAATACACTCAGCCTGGCACTCTCCCCACCCATGGGCACTGTTCCTTGGGGCAGGGTTTTCCAAGCTTCCCAGCACCCCCTCCCCCCTCCTCCCTTGGAGCTGGTCTTGCAAAGCATTCATATGCCTCTAGAGACTGACGTCATGACCTGTGTATTGATGTTGGCAAGGCAATGACCCCGCAGGATATTGCTGCTCATTTCAGCATAACTGCCCAGTTATTGATGCTAAATAAAGGGTTTGTTTGGAGTGAAGACAGAAGCCACTTGGGGCTGACCTGTTACTGTCAGCAGCTGGCAGAAGGCGGCTCTAGGGGTGACTGGTTTCTCGGTTTATGTGAGCATTGTTAAGAGCAACAATGAGTAAGATTGATTGTGGGTCGCTGTGCACTGATTGGCTCTGTGTGTGGGGACCTGCCTGGGTCTGCCCTGAATTTGGAAGCCTGGAGGAATGTAACAGTGTGAGCTGGGTGAGGGTGTGCCTCTGTGCTGGGTGTGTGTGTGTGTGTGTGTGTGTGTGTGTGTGTGTGTGTTCTGGCCCATTCTGGGTGAGTGCATGGTGATGTGAGAGTCCGGGCAATGTGTGTCTCTCTCTCAGGGAAGGTGTGTGCACTCTAAGCTGGTGCCCGTGGGACATTCATCCTGAGAGCCACAGCATTGCTGTGCCAGGGCTTTGGAATGCCACACACACTGCGGGCACCACAAAAAGCAGCTGGGGCACTGCCGACATCCCTGTTGGTACAGCAGCAAAGCTACCCCTACATGGCACTATACAAGCAAGGGGTTTTCCTGGGTCCTCATATAGTCGTTAGCTCTCACTCTTCACCCTTCTGCCCCTGGGCTGGAGATGATGTGCACCAGTGTGAACCCACCGTGGCATGTGTGGGGGGACCTGGGAGTTATGAGCTTCCTTCCAGTTTAGAGCATCATCCCTATGAGGACAGCATCCATCAGTGGGAGAGGCAGAGATAAAGGTTGAGCATGGGTAGGGTGTACCTCCATCCAGCATGCCTCAGCAGCTGTCCTGCAGGGCTGGACTAGTGCATGGGATTTACTCCACATGGGGGTCCAAGCCAAGACCTGAACTCAGGTTTTTTTCACTGAAAACAACAGGGCTCAGCTTTGGTGTGTGAAAGGCAGGGGCCTGGCTCTGCAGCATCCCCTACTGGTTGCTGGGGGAAGGGATGTTGAAAGGGAACATGGCTCTTGACCAGAGTGGAAGCATGGGGGGTAACTATGGGACCTGTACCTCCGTCAGCAGGTCCCAGTCCTATACATCTCCCCAAAATGGTCAGCTCCCTCTGAGAATGAACCACTCCAATCCATGCCTGAGGGCTGGTCCCATGGCCAGGGGGGGCCTGTGTTTACTGTCAGCAAATCAAAGTGCTTTTCAATTTACTATGAACACAAGAGCCACTTGGGGCAGGAATTTGGGGGCGGGACGGCCGGGCATCCCAGCTGAGCAAGAGGTGGGCGGGGGTTTATAGAATGGAAGTGCTAGAAACCTGTCCTTGCTCTCCACCTGGACATCGGCTCTGGGTGCTCTGAGCTGTCAGGTAGGTGGGATCGACTAGTCTGTCTGCAAGGCCTTGCCTCACGTCAGCTGTGACCAGACTGTGCCTAAGGGGCAGGTGAGAATGGTCGCCATACAGTCAGGGATGGCAGAGAGGTATGGAGGGAGGAGCAGCATCAGGAGGATCTTACAGGAATGGAACTGAGCTGAGGGAAACGTGGGCTTGGGAGGCTCTGGTTGACAAGGCGCTCCTAGGGTCCTGAGACTGTCTGCCAAAGGGAGTGGTAGAGTGTCCTATTGCATGGGACATATGGAAGTGAGCTAGCTGGAGGGGATAAGTTATATCCTGCTGGACCATTCCCATCCCTCTGTCTGTGCAGGTTGTAGTTATACTGGTCACATCTCCCAAGCAGCAAGTTAGAGCACTGGGGAGCAGGGGACATGTGTATGTAGGGGTGGATCCAGAGGGGGTGCAGTGACATGGCTGCACCCACCCGCCCTTTCAATCTGGACCATGGGATGTGGGAACCTCTGGGGGCTTTTTTAAAGTCTGAAAGCATGTAAGGATCCCCCATCCCCCCCTCCATGCTCAAAGGCATGTCCCTTCCCCTCCCTTCCTCCCTTACCTGCTGCCTGCTTTCCCTGCTGTCCCAGAGGCAGAAGAAGCTTTAAAGCTTCTCCTGTCCACTCCAGCTAGGCTGCACAGGGGCTGGGCTCAGCTGGGAACATCGGCAGGAATGGGTGGGGGTTTCCCCTCCCCACGCCTGCTCCCTGGGGACTGGGCAGTGTTGGGGAACCAACACCCCCCCCACCACTGCTGCTGCCCTGCTATTCCCAGCTGAATTCAATCCCTGCACAGCCTGGCTGGAGCAGGCAGGAGTGGCATTGAAGCTTCCCCTGGCCCTGGGAGAGTGGGGAATGCAGCAGTGGCAGGCAGGGGAGGAGGAGAGGGGAGGGGAGGGCACATGTCTTTGAACATGGAGGGAGGGTTGGGGGTATTCTTACATACTTTGGAGACTTTGAAAAGTCCCCAGAGGTTCCCATGGTGTGGTGGGTTGGGAGCAGGCTGGGAATGGGTGTGCAGCCACCCCTGTAGTGCGGATGGATGCTCCCACACCCCTTTGCCAAATCCTGGGTCTAGCCCCTTCATATGTGTGTTGGGGGAGCTTTTCCTGGACATACATCATAGGTGGGTCAGCACCAAAGGGTTCCTGGTGGCTGGCTGCTATGACAAAGAGACCTACTAGTCTTCTGACTAGATCTAATGTTTGCCTGGCCCAACCCCAGTGAAAAAGTGGCAGCACCATCCCACACACTCAGCAGGAGGAAGCACTGAGGCCAGCATAGTGGGGCACAACTCCAGCCTGTCACTGGGAGCTGCCAGTGCCTCTGAAGGTGCAGATGGGTAAAAGCCCCTCCCTATGGTACCTGGAGACCATCTCCAAAGTCAGGAACACTTGAGAAATGATGCGAGTCTGCTCCAGTGCTGGGGACACCAGTCATCCCTTCTGGCAGAGAGCAGTTGGTGCCAGCTTCTATGTAGAGTGGGGTTGGGGGGTAGGGACTGTGGGGTCAGGAGGAGCCAGATGAGAGAGCTTGCATAGTCTATGGGGAGAGAGACAGAAAAGACAGAGGGCTCCAGTGGTGGCCATTAAAACATCCTTTTCCATCCAGGTAATCCTCTCTGTTCTGGAAAGTGCTGCCCCTTCTCCAAAGCCACTGAGCCCCTGAGACCCTCTGCTCCATGCTGGAAGGAGCTGTCTTTACCTCTTTCCTCCCAGAACCTCAACATAGACCAGGCTGTAACCCAGAGGCCTAGAGCGCATCAGCCCTTCACAGGAGAAGCAGAAGGCAGGGGAGGGGATATAACCTGCCCCCCATGGCTCTGGTATTGTGCCAGCCCCACGGAGTGGAGATGGGCTGGGCATGGCTGGGCCCCTGAAGCTTCACCAGTGCTGACAAGAGGTCCAGGACTTGACTGACGGGCAACTTGTTTATACACAGGTTCCTCCTCATTAGATGGGAACCACAAACCATCAGAGAGCAACAAGGGCACCCGCCTGACCAGCTCCAGCTGGAAGACCCATGAGGTAAGTGCCCAGCCATGCTGGGGGCTGGTGGAGAGATGCTGCTTAAAATGCTGGGCCATGGCCCCCTCCAACCCCTCAGGCTGGGGTTTATGCCCTGCTCTTATGCTGGCACCAAGGGAATGGCATTCCTTCTCTCTAGCTCTGACTCCTGGGCTATATTTTAAGGAGTCATGGGGAATGGTGGGGTGGCTATGAGAAGGACGGTGATCTCTGCCTGGGGACAACTGGTGCATCAAGGTGTTCTTGGCAGGAGGGCTCGTTTGATTTATAAACACACCCAGAGCTGTTGTGGTCAAGCTGCTTTTCCAGCTGTCACTCAGCCTGTCATTGACCATATGAGTCCCTTGTCTTGTACAGCTGAGGTGGCTCCATTCCATTTATCAAGGCACTTTCAGACTGGTCTGAACTGCCCTGGTGTGCCTGGAGCTGCAGATAACCAACTAAAAGAGGGCATAGCTCCCTCTAACCAGTACCATGGACTATGTCCCCAACTGGCTGGCTGCCTGAGCTGGTCTGTTTGCTCAGTGGGTGTAGGCAGGGGCAGATCTGGGGTGGGGGCAGTTGTGCAGTTGCACCTCCCTTTGATTCCCCAAACTTTAAAGCCAACTGCCTGGTAAGGGCAACAGCATTTCTAGTCAGGCAGCACTGAAGGAGTCAATTGATTTCAAGGCTCATTATGATCTACCTGGTTCCTGTTAATCTCTCTCCATTCCATAGGTGTTAATGACCCCCCTTCCTTGTTAATGGACTTAATAGGTGCCTGGACACATGCTGGGGGGCAGGCGTTTTAATTAGAGTGGTTTCCAGAGAACTGTTGTAATTAAAACGCCATAGTATCATGTGTATTAAGTCCCTGCACATTTAAAAATGGCCACAGGACACTTTAACTAAAATTAATTCAACAACAGCCATTTGGGGGGGCTTATGCATGTAATGCTGCGATGATGCTAGAGCGTTCTAATTAGAACACGGAGCAGACTTAATTAATTGTTCTAATTATAATGTTTCAGAGCATGTGTATAGGCACCCAATGTCCTACTATTCAAAGTATCCTTTCTTCTACAAAGTAGCCTTTCTTTCTTCTATTTGCCTGTCTGTTAGCCATTCCTAGTAATGTCTCTGTTCCATTTCACAGCTCTACAAACTGTTTTTAATTTAAGCTAAAAACCTTAATTCAGGTGTAGAAATGACTGACAGTGAAGTACTGGAGACATTGTTAAGATTTTCAAGGAGGCTAGATTTTGTTTTATCAAATTGAATATAAAACATTTATATTTAACTATAATGACTGCAGTATTAAAGAAACAATATCTTTTGACTATTTGCAGGGTTGGACTAAATGACTTTCTGAGGTCTTTTCCAACCCTAATTTTCTGTGATTCTATGAGTCTATTTTGAACATTTTTGCCTAGCGTGTTGTGCTTTTTAAACTTAATATATAAGCTAGCAAATCAGTGAACTTTTCCATAAAGTTATATTTGTTTTTGCTTTGATCCTAAACCGAACATATAGCAATAGGCCTGAAGCTTATTATTAAAGCCTGTAGTTTTTCTTTAACTGGAGAAAAATGTGTCATGCTATATGTGATGATGCAGCATATCATTTGTACCTCCCTTTACAAAATCCTAGATCCACCCATGGGTGCAGGTGATGGGGCTCTATACTCAGTCTGCAGTGGGTTCAAGTCTAGGCTTGTCTAATATTACCACTTGAAGGAGGGGGGAGTTGGGGTGCTATTCACTCCCTTCTTTCTTCAGTTTTCCACAGAGTTCACTCCCTTCTCTCTTCAGTTTTTCCTTTAATCTCTGGGCCAATTTGGCAAAGCCCAGTGGTTCTGATCCATGTCCAAGCTCTAGAAGGGTCCTGGCTAGTATTGAGTGTGCTCAGCTCTCCTGCCAGGACAGCAGGCTTCAGGCCATAACTAAGGGCAGTCCAGGCTGGATCGGTCAGCTGGGGAGCCTGAAAGCCAGAGGGAATCATAGGGTCAGTCCATACCCAGCAACCTCTTAAAGCATCCCCTTCTCATCCAGTGAAACCACTATTGAAACCACTACTTCAAATTCTTCCATTAAGGAGAAGAGAAATCAACAGGGTCTTAGGGACTCAGAGGAACAAATGCAGCAATGCTGATGCTCAGATGCAGGGAATAGACCAGCACTTTTGTGTGATCCTCTCTGAGCCTGACCCCACAACAGAGTCACATACTAACTGCAAATGGGGGGCTAAAGACAGGATCTGATTCCCATTCAGTGCATGTGGGGGCAGCCCCATAGACACCTGTGGGGTTCCCTTGATTTATATTAGTTCATGATCTGGTTGAGAGAGTTTGTGCCAGACCGGAGGGAGAGGGGCAGAAAGGGGAGATGGTGCACAGCTGTGGGGAACCCCTCCCCCAACTCAGAGCTTTCCTCCTGTTCTGGTCAGATCTGCTTCTGACACTCAGATGGAAATAAGCACCTGATCTTCACCTTTGCTTCACCCAAGGAGTGTTAGCTCTGCCTTACCCAAGGTGGGTTGCATCACTGAAGCAGCATCCAGTGGCAAGGATTGTTGTGGGTGACATCTTTTATTGGACCAACTGCATGGTTGGAATAGACTTAGACAAGCTTTTGAATGAAGTGTGTTTCTCTTCAGTGGCAATTGATTTTAAATCTAAATCCTTATTCCCTTGAGGCCTAATTAACTCTTTGGGACTGGCTTGCCACCAGACCTCACTGTGGATAGGCCCTTAGCAGGGCTCCCAAAGGCAGTTTCTATGGCTAAAGAGTGCTCTCTCCTCCCCCTCCCCACCCCCCCGCCCCCACACACTTT